CCAGTGGAGCTGGTGTGTGTCTACCACCTCCTGAACACTCCTCACTGACACCAGGGACCTTTTGTCCGAGATGTTCGGCGCCTCAGCCATGATGGCGTCGTAGAGCGAGCGGGCGTCCGTGGCCTGGGCATAGGACATGCGGCAGCCAACTCGGTGTGAGGGTTGTGCATAGATCAACCCAGAGATGATCCGGTTGAGGTATGCTCCACGGTCAGCTGCCTCGTCAGCAGCGCAGGCTTCAGCTGCCAGAGTCGATCGGCAGACCCGTGGGGCTCGTGAGCTCCGCCAATCTAATGGCGTGAACTTCACCGGCTTCTGCTTTGCCTCCATGCTGGTGATGCCGATCACCAGACCGATCTGAGAGCCGCTTCGGCTGGCGTTGCACCAGCTGGCATCTGAGTAGCCGAGCACCAGGGAGTCCTTGGTGAAGGGGATGTCCTGGATGGTCAGGCCCTGGTTCGACGTGGACTTGAGGTAGTCCAGGCCCTCGTACAGGTCTTTGAGGCCTTGGTAGGTGGTCTGTGCACCTTGGTTGGACAAGCTGATGAGTGGTGAGATCTCAGGTCTGCATTGCGTCGCTGCCCATTGCAAGCAGCCGCTGACTGACCGGTACTCCTTCTGCTCCATGGGAGTCATGACAGGGTCTTGACTTGACCTGCCTTTTGCAATCTTGCCGACGTCGAGGGCGTCGAGAAAGCCCTGCATGGTGATCTTCATCCGATGTCGGCCATTGGAGAGCTGCTCAATGACCAGTTCTTTGCCCTTGAACTTGATGGCCTGGCCGGCCTTGAAGCTTTGAAGATCGCCCCAGCGGAAGAGGTCTTGGATCTCGGCGATCTCATAGTCAGCTCGGTGGAGGCCTAAGAAGTCACCCACATAGACGATCAACATGCTGACTGGATAGCCGCTCTTGGGGTCCCTCTTGATGAAGAGCTGAGGGTCGAAGCCATGTCGGCCATACCCCTTGGAGGTCAACCTTGATGTCACCTCCTCGCTCCAAAGGTGTGGAGCATTGCTGAGCCCGTAAACGTTGCCCAGGATCTGGTAGAGGTCGGAGCGCCAGTGGCTGGTCTTCTCGATCAGGCCATCTTTTGGAGGCCTCATGTAGAGAGGTAGTGGCCTCTCTGAGTCCTTCTGCTTCCCCTGCAGGAATGCAGTTTGGGCGTCCCCTGCCCATGCCAGCCATGGCTTCTGGGTGTCGAAGAGCTCCTGGTTCATCCCAGCCACAATCATGGCGTACATCACCATCTCCGATGTCCTTCCAGGTGTTGGGGATGAACGGTTGAGGACCTCGAGATCGGGATCTTGGTGGCCCAAGCAGACGATGCGGCATTTTGCCTTGACTTCACCTTGGCCCACATTCTTGTCTCGGTAGCAAGCCCGTGAGCGCAGCACGCGCTTGGAGAGGATCTTGTCTCGCAGGACGGCTTGGGCTTCTTCTCTTGAGAGTGGCTTGACACTCCGCCACTCGGACCAACTGTTGGTCTCCTTGTCGATGGCGGCCAGGAACTTGTCGATGTAGGCTGGTGGCATCGTCAAGATGTGCCTCCAGGGAATCTCCCTATCCAGCTGTTTGCGTTCCTGTCTGCTCATGCCCGGGTTGTGATGTTTGGGCCGTTCTGCTTGCTCAGTGTTGGAGTCTCCACTGTCGGAGTCCAGTGTCGCGTCGCTCTCTGCTGCTGCTTTGTTTGTGTTGTTGATGTCTTGTTGTCTCTGTTTGGCTGCTGCATAGACCTTGAAGAAGGCTTTGCTTGTAGTGCCATATGCCATGGGTGGTGTTCCACCCCAGTGGTGATCTGCCCGTGCAAGTGTGCCATTCTCTTCCATGATGAAGAGTGTGTCGAATGGCCTCTTCAGCGGTAGCACTGGTAAAGGATCTTCTTCTTGCATTGGTCCTGGTTCTGTATGTTCTGTCGTTTGTCCTGTATCCGCTGCTGCCGCTGTTTGTTCCGCGGTTGCTGCTGCTTGTTCTGCCGCTGCCGCAGGTTCTGTGGCTGTGGCTTGTTCATCCGGTTCGAACTGTTCTGTGGTGTCTGGAACGTCCGGGATGCTTGGTGTGTATTCTTCTAGGTGCATGTCCAGTTCGTGGTCTTCAGGTACTGGAAGAAGAGCTGCAGCTGCCTGTTGTTCTGCAATGTTTTGCAGGGACTCTTGGTCCTGTGGTGGATCCTCCAAAATGGTAGGATCAGAAGGGTGAGACATGCTTCTTGGCGGTGTCGGGCCAACATTGCCCAGTGCGGAAAGCGCTGGCGCTGCAGTGCTGTGGCTCGTTTCAGCCAGTGTGGCTCTTGTCCGTGTGGAGAGAGCTGATTCCAAAGGTTGTGCTGGTCGTCTTGACCTCGTGGTGCTAAGGCTTTTGGGAAGGTCCCCAAAGCGCTGATGTAGTGTCTGCACCGTGGTGTGTTGGTGCATATGTGTTGGGCTTTCGATCCTGACATGTATGGTCGTCGGATCCCGTGACGCTGCTGCTGGCGTCAAAGGTGCTGCTGCCGCCGGTGTTGCTGGTACAGCCATTGTAGGTGTTGGTGGTGGCGGTGCTGCACTGTAGTCGACGGTTTCCTCGAGTTCTGCTCCTTGGGTCAACGCGGACTCGGGTGGAGGTTCTCCTCTCTCATCTTCGAGCATCTGAGGGCCAAAGTCTTTGCTTGCATCCTTGAGGGCCTTCAGATCTTGCTCATCGGGGCACCAATCTTCAAACCCGTGAGCTGCTCGGAGTTGCTCTGAAGTGACCAGGGTGGTTGAAGCTCCCAGGCGGACCCATGCCTGTCTTCCTGGGTATTGAGGATCCCAGGACAGGAACCTGGCAGTGAGCCATGCTCCTCGCTTGCGCACTCCCTTCTTTGTCCACCTCCAAACTGCGCAGCGTTGTCCAGGGAGTAGTTCTGGTACTTTGACATTGCGGGTCTTCCGAAGCAATGCTCGTCTGAACTGTTGTTGGGCGTTCAGGTCGATGAGGGCCTTCATAGCCTCGCTTCTCACAAGTTCTGCCCGGAGTCCAGGGTTGTCAACGTCCCGGAAGGGCTGTGTGGAGGTGCTCAAGACCTGGGTGTCGGTGAGGACGTCATCAGGTAGTCGTGGAGTTCTGCCAAAGACTGCCTGGTAGCCAGATCTGCCTCGAGTGAAGGGCAGTGAGTTGATGCTGTGGCAAGCTTGGATGAGCACGGTTGGGACTTGATCCAAAGAAACCACTCCAAGCTGGTCGATGACCTTCTCCAGAGTGAGTCGGAGGATGGCATTGCGCCGTTCGACCATGCCGATGATGTAGTGTGCCTCCGGTGGACAGTGTTCAACCATCACGCCCATAGCCATGAGGCGTTGCTCAAACTGACCTCGGAAGGTGTGATCTGGGTCGCACACAAAGCGAAGTGGTAGTCCAAAAGGTCGAAGCCAGATGTCGGAGAGCACTTGGAACGCTGTGGTGGCGTTCCGGTCGGGCATGTATCCAGCCTGATGGAAGCCTGTCGCCTTGTCGACGATTCCGAGGACGGCAAAAGATGTTCCGTCCAGCAGCCGTGCATAGAAGATGTCGGCTTGCACTTCATCAGCAAATTGGCCTGCAGTCAAACTTGGCATGGATGCAGGTCGTGGTTCTTGAGGTGGTCGAAGGCGTTCACAGGTGGAGCAAACCAATCCCTGAACTGCTTTGATGACTGAACCTGGTACTTTGCCTTGATGTGCCAGGAGTCGTAGTAGTTCTGGAGCCGTGGGATGTCCCAAGTTGAGGTGTAGTCGTGCTACAGAACGTCGAATGTGCTGCTCCACATCGCTGACATTTGGGAAGCTGATGTCAGCTGACATGCCCGGAATGACGGGTCTGTCCTCCTTGAGCTCGTTCTGCTTGGGGTCAGGCGTCTCGAGACGGTGTCCATATCCAAACACTGCCACTCTGACCGCCTTGGAGAACTTCATCTTGGGGAATTCGATCTCGCCCAAATCTTCGATCTCGACGGCACGAGTACCATCAGCGTACTGCAAGAGAGCTGCTCGGGTGTAGTACTCGTCCACGTTGGGTGGAATTCTTCTTGCCGTCGGTGCATAGCACGCTTGAAGGCGAATTGCCTTGATTCGGAAGAGCTGTTGGATGGTCTTGCCCATCTCGGTGTCCAAGCCAATGTTGAAGGGCCGTTTTGCTCCCCTCTCATAAGCATTGGTGATGTGGTCCACGATGTCGTCCCACAGTCCAAGGTCCTCTGTGGGGTAGGCCATTGCGTAGACCTGATGTAGTGGTGCTCCAAAACGATGAGGCTCACGTTGAAACACTAGAGATTTGAGCTCTTGCAAAAAGCAGTGACAAAGCTCGTCCGGGTACTGCTGGGATCTTCGAGTCATCGAGCCTTGGATAGGCTTGCAGTAGAGCCGCTGTGTTGGAGTGAGCCGCAGGTTGAGGGTCTGGTCAAAGCCTGGGGGGTTGCCCATCCATCTCATTGGCTTTGCGTTGATCTCCGCGCCATAGGCTCCTGCATCAAGCACTGTGGACCAAATGCCTTCCAGATCTCTCAGCTGGCGGACATTGTCTTCCTCCCAAAGTCTCGACCTCAGGGGGTTCTCCAGCAGGAAGTATCGCCCGGCCTTGTACTGCATGAGCGCGATGTCCACTGCGAACTGAACCAAAATGCGCTCTTCATCTTGCAGGCTCTCAAGTAGTTCTTGTCGGTGCGACCAGTTCATGTTGATGTTGAACAAGTTCCAAAACCTGCAATCGACTCCCATGACGATGAGCCAGGGTTTGAACTGATCGACCTGTGCTTTGATCTTCTTCCTCATGGAGACATTCTTGAAGTCCTGGCCGAAGAGGATATCCAGGGGCTGCAAGGTGTTCAGGTCATAGTGTGGAGCCAGGCGGCTCAAGTTGCAAGATCCGGCGAACAGCTCCCATAGGTCCACATGTGGTGGTGGTCGATCTCTCACGCTGGCGCCGCTGTTGTTGACCTTGTACTCCATCTCGAGGACCTGAGCGGCCTTCTTCCACTCACCTTTCAGCCTTTTCGCATGACCGGACTTCATGGATCCGGTACCAACTGGTTGAGGCTCTGGACCATGTGGTTGAGCTCGTCGTCCACCAGACCCCAATCCATGATCTCGTCGTCCTCCTCGCGAAGAACTCCCATCTCGGCCAGTCGCTCGTGGCGTTTGCGATCCGCCAACATCTCCAGCTTCTCCCGCTGCGGCTGGTAGGTCTCCTCGTTGAGGAAGATGTGCTCTGCCACCGTCGTAGGTTCTGCTTGCAGAGGAGATTCCTGCTCCAAGATCTGGAACAGCTCGTAGCGCCCCTGCTCGTCCAGGTGGTCCGTATGGAGGGTGTAGCCCAAGCGAAAGTTCGTCCATCCACTCAGCGGCGTCGAAGTAGGGTCCGTCCGCTCGTAGTCCCTGATGCGAGCTTGACGTTGTAGAGCCGCTGGTGCTGCCTTGAACTTGGGCTTGATCTTCTTTGGAGAGGCTCCCAAAGGAGGTGTGGCCTTCGATGACGGCTGAGGCAATGGCAATGGTGCTGAAGAGGAACTTGGAGAGCCATCGCCGCGGGAATACCAAATGTCCCAATCCCCCTTCTTGGTGTTCCATCTCCATTTTCTCAGGCACTGATTGCATCTCGCAAAGCGGCCATGGGCGTTGCCGTACCTCTTGATGTCCTTGTGCTCGCAGGAGTCCGGGTCGAGGCGAGGACTCAGGATCGGCGGAACTGCCGATTGGAGCCAGTCTCGCGGCATCATGCCCAGCCGCACGCCCCCCATCATGTAGATCCAGACGTTCCTCCGGAACGCGTCGAGAGCCGACACGATCCGCCTCCATCTCGCCAGCCATGGCGGAGGTGCTGTCCGCATGAGGAAGCGGGGGCCTCGAATTCAAGACCTCATGGGCTTTCGCCTCGTCTGTCATGGGCTTCGGCGGTGGAAGGACAAGTTCTGGGTGTGGCCTTTCCCAACATGATGGTGACGAAAGCTGTTTCCAAACAAGTTCATGGCCAGGGTGCTCATGGTTGGTGTCCAAAATGAAAACTGCAAAATGACCACACTTGACATGAAGTTCAACTGAACAATGCAATGCCGTGAAATGAACTGCACGATTCGGCAAATCGATCACCGACCCCAACTTGTCCAGGAGGGAGTTGCTACCCAACAAAGGAACACGCTCGGGCAAAACACCGGCACCGATGACCAAGGGGACATTGTTCAAATAGCTGGGGATGTAGGCCCTTGTAGTGGACTTGGTGGGATCTCCTTTGCCAAATTGGAAGAGGTCATACGAATCAATCTCCTTGGTCTTCAGGCCATAGTTTCCCAAAAGGTCTTGGTGGTGCCGATACCAAAGGGTTCCACAACGTGTCCTTTGGCATGCCGAATCCAAAACCATAAAACCAGCGAGCTCCCCGTCCGTGGAATAGTTCTTGACCTCATTGACCTTGTAGGGGATGCTATTGACCATGTTGATGGAGAAAGCTGAACCAAACTCATCCGGGGGCGTCCCAACCTCCAACGACCCATACTGGTGGTGCTGCGCGACGGACACGGAGTGAGTGGGCTTTTTGTCGTGACCTGCTGAACGGTAGGAGGTCGAGGATCCCTTTGGTCCTTTGCCGGACTTTCCTCCAGCTTTTCCTCCACCAGCTCCTGGATTGAGTGGACATTCTTTGTCCTGATACCAGTGGCCCAAGGCGCCGCATGCCGAGCAGTGAGTCGTTTTTCGAAGCTCTTCGGGCGACTTCTTGGTTTTGCCACCAGCTGAATTGGAAAACTTTCGACCCAAAGTGACGCCGCTGAGTTTTCGGGCTGTCACTGTGAGGACCTCAGCGAGCTCGGAGAGGTCAGGTTCGTCCTCTTGAGGATCTCCTTCGGCGTCATCGCCGTTCGATGGCTCTGCATCGCCGTCAGCGTCACACTCGGGGTCTTCCTGAGCATCAGCGAACTCTTCATCTTCAGCGACCTCCATCTCGGGGACCTCAGTCAAGTAGGTCTGCCGTCTTGGTGGTCCTTTGCTGCCACCTTTTGAGAAGCTCGATGTGGTAGTCGAGGAGGAGGTAGAAGAGCTCGAGGTCAAATTCTTCCCTTTGCCTTTTCCGGATCCAGACATGACCGCTGGAGCCGGCCTGAACTCTGGCCATTGAAGAACGAGGCATTCGGCAATGGCCTCAAAGCTAAGGCTTTGTTGCGGGCCCACTAAGATCATCCGTTGATCATGATGACTCAATCCGCTGCGGTCCAAAAGCCTTGAGCCGAGCGAATCGGAATCAAACGTTCCCGATATGTCGACTCCGACCGCCAGGAGGGACCTCTGAACGCGTCTGAAGCGCTGCACATAGGCCCGCATGCTTTCCTGGTTGAAGCGGCGGAAGGATTCGAACTCGTGCAGGAAGCGTCGTTTTTGATAGATGATGCGTTGTTCAAATGGCCTCTGCAAAAGCTTCATGATGACATCGACCCCGTCGTCCTTGTGGATCTGGTCGATGTCCAAGTGTTCTAATTCTTGTTCAAGCTCACCGGTGAGTCCATTGTACAGCATGAGGGCCTGATCCTTCTTGCTGGCGTAAGCTTCCATTTGGAGGCGCCAGATGCTGATCTTCTTGGAGAACTTTGCAAATGCCCTCATGTCAGACTGGTCGTACTTCCATGTCGGGACAGGAGGAGGTTGTCCCGACTTCCATTTCAGGCCTGGTGCTGGCCCTTTCTTTGAGTTCCATGAGCCCTGAGATGAGCTCTTGTCCTCCTTCCCGGAATGTCGTGACCGGTCAGGAGTCTGGTCAGGTAGTCCAGAACGTTCGAGGCGTCCTGAATCGGGTAATCGAGGGACTCGAGGAGCCGTCGATCGAAGTGGCGATCCAGCCGCGCCAGGAAGGTCCGCCGCGCCCGGTAGATCAGGTAGATCAGGTGGAGGGCCTTGAGATACTCCAGAACCTCGAACAGGTGTTCCTGGAAGAGCTCGTCGTGGGCCTCGTCCATAACCACCAAGCTGGCGTCCTGCATCCTGTGGCTCAGGTTCAACCACTGGGTCATTGGTGAGTCTTCAGATTCGGCTTGTTCTTCATATAGATCTCCTTCGTCTCCGTCCGGTGGGCCTCCATGCTTGGTCCTCCTACGGCGTCTCTTCTGGGCCTTGGATTCCCTGCCAGGTGAGGTGGGAACAAAAACCCAGGCGCCAGAGGGGTTCACCTTCTTGGTAGGCCTGTCGACCCGGTAGAACTCGTCGTGGGAGCACGTCAAACAAATCCAACCGCTGTGGCCCTCCGAGGGAGAGAACCGCTGGCCATCACAACGCAAACAGCGCCATGGTGTGGGCTCATCATCATCCTTCGTGTCCTGGATCGGTGTTCTTGGTGCTTGAGGCTCCGACCAGGGATCCGACCATGGCGAATCGCCGCCATCACCACCATCGAGACCTTCGAAGTCATAGTCGAAGTCGTAGTCCGACAGGCGGGAGGCAACCTCGAGGTCGTCCGGGTCAGCAACCCTGAAAGGGATGGGCATCGAAATGCCGGGGCCTTCACGGCCGCCAAAAGCACCAAGCCAAGCTCCGGCGCCAACTCGACAACGCTCGAACGAAAGCTCAAAGCGCAAACATGTTTCCGCACACCGCAAGGTGAAAAACGGGTAAAGGCTCAGGATCCTAGTTTCGAACCACATGGTGCCAAGGTCAAAGGAAATCATGGTGCAAGTTTCTCACAAACAAACAATCATCGAGTACTACAGATCAACAACAGCATTCAGCAAACTGCAACAAGTACGATCACAATCATCCAGTGTAGCAACAAGCTTTGGTGGAGGACAAGCACTCATGGACATTGATGCAATCCACAAAGGAAAAGGTAAGTACAACAGTTACAAAGGAAAAGGAAAAGGAAAGAACAAAGGCAAAGGCTACGGAGGATACAACGGCTACGGATACAGCAGTTACAACATGAACCACAAAGGAAAAGGAAAGTATGGAGGAAAAGGATTCAACAACTACAACAACGGTCCGATTGGCTTTGGCAATCCATTCGGAAGAGGCAACAAAGGAAACAAAGGGTTCAACAAAGGATACAACAAAGGCAAAGGAAAGAACAAAGGAAAACAAGCAACAGATACATGCTACAGATGTGGAAGAACAGGACATTTTGCCAAAGATTGCCGAGTGGCAATACACAACGTTGGACAAGGAGAAAGCAACGACATTGAAGATGCAACAGCACAATGGTACGATGACTACTATGACAATGGATGGTACTGTCAGGACTACATGATACCACAATCAGGACAACAGCCATTGGCACTACCACCAGTTCCATCCAATGGCAACAATGATATGACACCAATCCATGTCATCGCCATGATCAGCAATGGCACTGACTACAAGACAGATACCACAAGCAGCGGTACAACAGACACTATGCACATCATGATCGACAGTGGAGCAGCCACACACGTCTGTCCACTATGGTTTGCAGACAACTATCCAGTGTACAAGATCGACCAAGCACAAAGCCCAAACCTCAGGACAGTAACAAACAAGACAATACAATGCTACGGCGTGAGATGGGTCTACATGCAATCAAGAGGACAACCAATTGTCATACCATTCTATGTGTGTGACATCCACGACCCAATTCTGTCAGTGACAAGACTGGCAGAACAAGGCTTTGACATCAGGTTCAATGACACTCCAACAATGCGCCATGACAAGGGATTCAATGTTCCCTTGGTGCAGCAGCACAATGTCTACTACTTACCAGCCACAGTCATGAACCTGGGACAACATCAACAACTACAACTGAGACATACACAACAGGGCATGATTGCAATGATTGCCCCAACAACACTGACAAGACATGGACCACAACAAGTTCTTGGAGGCAATAGCGACTATTGGAACTACAACAATGAAGGATACCTTGTACGGTATCACCGGAACAAGAGGAAAGCTCTCTTTGTTCCTGGCAACAATTGCCCCGTACCACTGGAGACATTGAGCAACTACAGACGAACAATCATCCGGCGAACCGATGGGAACAACGAAGACATTGCTGAACAATACCATGACTTGAACAAACACGAACAACGAAGAGTGATACAAGGAGACACCTGGACAGGAGAAACGTGGTTCAGGGTGAACAAGCCGCCAGCACAACCAGCACCTACAACGGCGAAGACAACAGAGAAGACAGAGAAAGCATCACAAGCAATACAGGTACAACATCAACCCGCAACACTGCAGACCCAAGAAGGAGAAAGAACAACGCAACAAGCAGGCAGAGAGCCACTATATAGACACACAACGAAAAAGCCAGCACCTACAACCACAGCAGTGCCTGATCCATCAACAATGACACCAACAACAGACTACTGGATCAGGGAAGGACACTATTGGAAACGAGTTCACGTACAAGCACGGACAACAATGTACGTACCACAACAGACAGATGATGGTCCAGACATTGGACGACTCAAACCGTCACGGACAACATTCGTGAACAGGACGGAACAAGGAAGAGGATACACAATCCATGACAATTAGGAATCAGGAGCAAGACAGCTTGATAGACAATGGACAGGATCAACAAACTTCGAGGAAGAAGCGACGTACAAGTACGAGTACGACACGGACAATGAAGATGAATCTCAACAAGCACAGCGCGCCAAAGGGATGAAGGCGCCACAACAACCAACAAGACAAGAGAGGCTAGAACATGAGCTGACACATTTACCATATCGCTCATGGTGCCCAATATGTGTCAAGAGCAAAGGAAGAACAGACAATCACCCAAAACAAGCAAGCAAACAACCAGTGATACAAGTGGACTTCACCTATATGAAAGCATTTGGAGACAAACAAGTACTACCAGTACTCACGGCAATAGATGTCGAAGCAGGTATGGCAATGGCAGTTCTTGTACAAGACAAGAACCAACAACAACAATACCTGACACGACGCCTACAAACATTCATGTTTGAATGTGGACGAGCACACGCAACACTATCCACAACAACGCTACAATCAGACCAAGAAGAGTACACATACAGAACCTGTTGAAGACAGTTGCACAAAAGCTCGGAAACAACGTCAACATCCGACAATCACCAGCATACTCATCACAATCACAAGGAAGCATTGAACGATTCCATGCACCTTGATGGGACAAGTCCGAGCATTGGTACAACAAGTGAGCACCAGTTACAATCTCACATTGAGCGTACAACATCCGGTCACGCCGTGGATTGTACGGCATGCAGCCTGGCTACTGAACAGGTATGCCATGCACAATGATGGACAAACAAGTTACCAAAGACGATGGCAGAAGGACCACAAAGCACCACTATGCGAGATGGCAGAAACAGTACAATACATGATACCAACGACAAAAGCACAACCCAAGATGGAGCCAAGATTCTTCAAAGGAATCTGGCTTGGCAGGGATACAATGACTGGAGAGTCAATAGTCGGCATCCCTGGCAAGGTCATCAAGGCAAGAACAATTCGAAGACAGATCATGCCAGACAAGTATGACAAGCAACTATTGGATACTATCAACGTGTATCCATGGAATTTGCCAACAGCAACGATGGCAATTCCAACACAATTGATACTACCAGCTGACAATACCACAAACAGACAAGCAATTGGCACGCAGGCGGACACCACGATGGAAGATACAAGTACACAGACAGTACAAGAGACACCACTGGCACTACCAGCACAAGCAATGCATCATCAGCCGATGGATACGACAATGGCAACATCACCATTGGCAACCTCACCAACAATGATGGCAAGACCACCACTGCCATTACCACCAGCAAGCAAGCGACAACATGAGGAACCTACAGGTGAGGCACAATCCAAACAATCGAGGACAGCACAGTCCTCAACAGCAGCGAACAGAGGACAAGATGAAGAACAACCAAAAGCAAAGATAAGAATACAAGCAGTGACAATCACCACAAGGAACGGTGACAAGATCACCACAGCATCCTGTGAAGATGAACAAGAAGCAGAAGTGGAAAGGATGCTACAAGAACCCTTCGTCTACGACAATGAAGGTCTTGATCCATTGAAAGTACAACAAGGAATGAAGAAAGAAGCACAATCGATGAAGACACAAGGAGTGTTGACAGAGGTGAACTACAATGATGTCCCAGAAGAACACAAGAACAAGATCATAGAATCCAAGTGGGTCAACAAACCCAAGCAAGATGAAGTGCGATGTCGCATAGTAGCAAAAGGTTTCCTGGAAACAATCCAAGACCTTGACAACATCTATGCGAGCACACCAATCTTTGGGATCTTACGTATCCTACTGACAATGGCACAGCACAACCACTGGACAATACAAGCAGGAGATGTGTCAACAGCATTCCTACATGCACCAGCAGCGACAGACAATCTCTACATGTGGCCACCACCAGAACTATACCCAAGTGGTCACAACACAACCACAGTGTGGAAGCTCAACAAAGCAATCTATGGACTACGATCAAGCCCAAAATCTTGGCAAGATCACTTTGCACAAGTCCTACAACAAATGGGACTGACACGACTGACAAGTGAACCCAACGTGTACAGGAACAATGAACAAACAATGTTTGTGATGGTCTATGTGGATGACCTACTATTCCTGGGACAACAGCAGGAAGTCGACAAGACTTTCAAAGAAGTACAAAAGCATGTACTACTACGACCAACCGGCACACTGGGAGTTGGCCAGACAATCTCAAACCAGAATACATCACAACATTACTGAAGGAAACAAAGATGGAAGCAAGCAATCCAGCATCAACTCCAGGGACGGCAACCCTGAAACAATCCACAAACGATGAAGCACCTTTAGATGCACAAGAACATGCAGACTTTAGGAGAGCAGTAGGAAAGCTACAATGGCTGACCTACACAAGACCAGACATCAGCTTTGCCACAAAAGAACTGGCACGAGACCTACAACAACCAACACAACAAAGTCTACGCAAAGTGAAGCGTCTTCTGCGATACCTCAGAGGAACACAACATTACAAGATGACCCTGAGGACAACGCATACACCACAGACAAAGGAACCCATCGACCTCAACATTTATGTCGATGCGGACTGGGCAGGATGCCCAAGTACAAGAAAGTCAACAAGTGGATTCATCGTGACAATGATGGGATCCGTGGTACAATTTGGAAGCAGAACACAAGCAGTAGTAGCACTATCATCAGCAGAATCAGAACTATATGCAATCGGCACAGGAGCACAAGAAGGACTACATATAGCAAACTTCATCAAGGAAGCAACCACAACAAAGGTGAACATTCGCATACACACAGACAGCACAAGCGGCAAAAGCATTGCAACAAGAATTGGCTCGTCAAAGAAAGCAAAGCACATCGACCTGAAGTACCTCTTCATACAACAACTGGTACAAAGCGGGGTACTGTCAATACACAAAATCAGCACACATGACAACCCAGCAGACATACTGACGAAGTATATCTCGGCAGAGGTGCTTAACAAAC